ATTTTAGGTGTAACTATTTATTCGAGTCACATTGTTAGAAAATTATTTAATCCAATGAGCTTCCATTTATTTCATTCAGAATTCCACATTTTGTAATTTTAGTGAGAAGGAGAACCCATTCAAGAGCAACTTTTCTTCAACAGCGCGCGCAAATGATGCGTGCGGTCCAATAACACCAGGCACGTGCGTTAAGTTAGCAATTAGTGCTAAAATAGGACCTGGTGATAACCAATCAGATTGAAGAATCTAGTTACAGTTATGATTATCATCTTTATAGGATCTTCTCTGGGTCTTCACGTGTTTCCTCCAGTTGTGAACAAATGGCTGTTGGTTGGTTTGTGGAGGAATCACGGTGAGTAAAAATGCTAATCTTGTGCTCAGATGCCATTTGTCTTAAGCCTTTCCCAGGCTCTCGGTCAGTCCTTGCATAAGGCCGGCGCGTCTGACATTTGAATTGACCAATCAGGATCCAGGAGGCGGGTAAATCTGCACTGTCGTTACGTCAATGCAACTTTTCTCGTTCGAGACGGCATGGAATATTCACGAAAAGGGATTAATAATTTCAAAACCATATCAGATTGCAAGAACTGGAAATTACGAAACATTTTGTTTCTCCAATCTTTTAATTTTGCCCCAAAAATGGGTCGCCCGTGTGCGGCAACTCTTTCGTTGTTCGTGAGCATGGTCGCCAGGTGTTATTTTCAGTTTTTTTGAACAAAATATGTTGTTCCTCGTCAAATTAAATCCAGAAGCCTCGCGTTTAGTAGTAAAGAGGCCAACAAAACTTTAGCATCGTCTTTAATTCTGTTAGCTACTAATAAAACGGCTATTATCGTTCATTTCGGTAGTACAGTTCAGTTTTGACGTTGTGNCCAACATACGGGACAAGCCGGGAATTCAGCTTATTACGGAAGTTCCGTTTGTACCAGAAACTCGATTCACTCGGCTTCCAGCTCCAGAAGTGACGAATACTGACGTCCAAGGCAATAGATGGGGAGGTCAGTCACTGATACAGATAATTACTAGGATTTAGTTATGAATGCTCCCATTGTGCAACTATGTCCCGTGGTACAAAACTGATTGCGGACAATATATATAACCCGTCTGATTTGATAGTTGTCACCTGATTTCATAGACGAGTAAGAAACAAAGGAACTGAGGAAGCCACATTTTAGGTGTAACTATTTATTCGAGTCACATTGTTAGAAAATTATTGAAACCAATGAGCTTCCATTTATTTCACTCGGAATTCCACATTTTGTAATTATAAATGAGAAGGAGAACCCGTACAAAAGCAATTTTTCTTCAACAGCGTACGGTCCAATAACACCTGGCAGGTGCGTTAACTTAGCAATAAGTACTAAAATAGGACCTGCTGATAACCAATCAGATTAGAGAATCTAGTCACAGTTATGATTATCATCCTTACAGGATCTTCTCTGGGTCTTCACGTCTTTCCCTCTGATGGGATCAAATGGCTGTTGGTTGGTTTGTGGAGGATTCACGGTGAGTAAAAATGCTAATCTTGTGCTCAGATGTCATTTATCTGAAGCCTTTTCCAGGCTCTTGGTCAGTCCTTGCATATGGCTGGCGTGCCTGACATCTGAATCAACCAATCAGGATTCAGAAGGCGGGAAAAACTGCACTGTCCTGACGTCAACGCAACTTTTCTCATTCGAGACGGCACGGAATATTCACGAAAAGGGATTAATAATTTCAAAAGCCATATCAGATTGCAGGAATTGGAAATTACGAAACATTTTGTTTCTCTAATCTTTTAATTTTGCGCCAAAAATGGGTCGCCCGTGTCCAGCCACTTACTCGTAGTTCGTGAGTGTCGCCAGGTGTTATTTTCAGTTTTTTGAACAAAATATGTTGTTCCTCGTCAAATTAAATCCGGAATCCTCGCGTTTAGTAGTAAAGAGGCTAACAAAACTTTAACATTGTCTTTAATTCTGTTACCTGCTAAGAAAAAGGCTATTATCGTCCATTTCGGTAGGACAGTTTAGTTTTGACGTTTTGACTGCCGTTGGTACTACAGGCGCTGTCGCCGCATGTACGAGGACGAACGTAAAAGCGGGAAGGGTACGTGCGGGATTTGGAAGAGAAAAGGATTGGGCGTCGCCCGCACGCTTTTTCGATCGTCCCCATTGACCTAAAGCCTGGAACAGGCTACTTCTCTGACTTCTGACATTAAAAAATGAGCCTTTCGCTTGGCAGTGTGAAATCCTGGTTCTAGAATTAACAGTTTTCGTTCTGAGCGGTCAAAATTTTGTAACGCGAACCGGTGAAATGGACCAACACGAATTAGCGTCGGCGAAGTTGACTTTATTAAAACATTACACAAATGAAAAACACTTTTATCTCTTCATGTCTGGCGGGAATGAAACTTTTGAAAGAGCAATTATAATACTTACCTGCCTGCCTGCCTGCTTGCTACTTAGTAACTAACTGACCATTAATTACACTGATCATGACATTTTTAACGACAGTACCATTTTTTTTCGCTCGTTCCGTTCAGATTTTAGCCCGTGTCAGAGCAGTCCTTGTGTACGCGGAGGAACATGCAATGTAGAAAGCGAAGGATACAGCTGTGACTGTTTGCCATTTTATTCTGGTCGCCACTGTGAGGGTAAGTTTAAAACCAGACATTTTAGCTTGAACCGAGTCAAAGTTGCACCAGGGAGGGCAAGGGGGAAAAGGGAAAGGAAAGGGGCGGCGGGCGGGGGAGGAGAGCTTTTCGGCGTTTAACCAAACCCAAAAATTAAGAACATATAAGAACACACCCTAAGCCTAGAGTCAAAAGAGGTAGCTTATTTTGTGATAAGATGACATGAGAGAA